GGGGGGGGGGGGGGGGGGGGGGGGGGGGGGGGGGGGGGGGGGGGGGGGGGGGGGGCAGGGAGAAAGAGCCAGAGGAACAAAAGAAAGAGGGAACAGAGCGAAGGCACGGGTCAGACAGATAGGCAGGCGCGCGGGAGGGGAGTGTGCAAGAAGAGCGCGAAAAGCAAAACGGGGCCCCCTCCCCGGCGTACATCTTGCACGTCGTGGCTCCGCTGGATGAGGGCCCGCTCGTAGATGCGCAGGATGCCGATGCCCAGGCGGAAGAAGGCCTTGTGCCCCTCGAGGAAGATCAGGTCCAGCATGCGGAGCCCGGCCCCCGGGCCGGGGTCGGCCACCATCGACCCGACAAAGGAGGCCGTGGCCTGGTCCACCGGGTTCGGGGAGAAGGAGGACCCGGCCGAGTCCAGGGACCCGAGCGAGCCATTGATGGAGTAGTTGCTGCTGCCGGCGACGCCGGAGCGGCCACGGCCGCTGCCGAAGCCGGATCCCGGCCCGGTGATGGGCGACCCGTCGCGCGATCCGGCCGTGCCCCCGGGCGCCGGGTCCAGGGTCAGGTCGCGCGCTGGGATGCCCGTGCCGCCGAGGCGCCCGAGGAAGCACGATGCAAAGAGGCTGCGCCAGTAGGCCAGCCACGGGCCCTTGCGGATGCGCCGCCGGCGGAAGTGCGCCGCCAGCAGCGGCACATGCTTCATGGCCAGGTCGTGGAAGACGTGCGCGAAGAGCCAGTGTTCCTGTGGTGTCGACCGAGCCCGGGGGGGGGGGGGGGAGATGGGTGCAGGCGTGCCAGTGTGTGAGTGTGCGGGTGTGCGGGTGTGTCGACGCATTTGCGTGCAGATGTGTCGGCGCATTTGCGTGCAGATGTGTCGGCGCATTTGCGTGCAGAGGCCTGCATGCACACCGCGCGCCCATGTCCGGACAGGCAAAAAAGAGCGAATAGAGACGCACACGCTGACCGATCGGGACGAAGGCCCAGCCGGCCATGGACAGACCGGTGTCCACGACGCTGAAAAGGCACGCCAACACGTCGTCAGCCGATGGCACGAACGTCAGCAGGGCCGTGGCCATCGGGTACAGGTAGGGACAGTAATCCGCATCGGGGCGGGCCTGCGCATGGCGTTGGGAGGGGCAGGGGGGGGGGGGGGGGGGAGGGGGGGGGGGGGGCGGGGGGGGGGGGGGGGGGGGGGGGGGGGGGGGGGGGGGGGGGGGGGGGGGGGGGGAGGGGCGGGCGAGAGGCGGGAGGAGCGGC